GTGATATTGGCATTTTGTTTGTTTATGTCGAATCATTCGTTATGCATGTACTTACTTTATGCATTTATGTATATGTACTTTGATAAAGTATTCACATCGTTTACTAGTAAACGTTGATCAAGTCTTCAATTGTTTGTACTTTGATAAAGTAGTCTTCTATTGTCTTCAATTTTGAGCTTATAGATGATAGGACTTATGGTTGAAAAGTCAACTTATATGATAGAAGTGTTTAGTAAAATTTGCTGATAAGCTAGCTGAAATAAAAATTTCAATGGACTTATTTAAAAACTACCAAAGAAACTTATAACATAAGTCCATTCTACCAAACCAAGCTTATTTGAATACAGGAAGCTTATAACTTAATTAAATAAACTATAAGCTAACTTATATGTTTATCAAACACAACCTTAACCTTAACCATCTAGGGCAATTGAACAAAGCTAAACAATATAGTTGCAAACACATAATTTCATTTCAATTACATACCAAAGTGAGTCTGGAGAGTAGCAATTACATGACCTCAATCCTGAAATCTAAATTCGATTTTCTACCAGGCCCATGGGCGTGGAAGAAAACAAAAAAACCGGGGAAAGAAAATACGAATAATTGAGACCAAAAATGAAAAGAAAAAAAAAAATAAGAAATCTCTCTGTGCAGTTTATTAGAGATTCCCAAACCTAGAAAGGTTCTCTAATTTACACAGATTATCAACAAACTTCTAACTTCTTCAAGAATAGATTTGCTTACTGGAGGCTGCACAATTTCTAGGATTCACAAAAGATTAATGCAAAAGGTCATCTCAGACTTTTCAAGGATATCCCACTCCATTGCTTGTGCTAAAAATCTGCAGTCGGGTGCACGAAAAACAAAAAATAATTTTTGATATTTTATATTCGTCAAAATGAAATAATGAGAAAAAATTGCTTCTTGGAGATGGTAGAAGATCCATACTTAGTTTTCTGTACTCTGAATATCCAAAATGTCCAAAAAAAAAAATGTAAGGCAAAAAATGAAACAGATGTTGGGATGATTCTTCAGAACTCGAGCCTAATAATTTGGAGTAATATGATAAAAATAGCCTTTTTTTCCGAGAAATTTCACCTATTGAAAGAGATGCTGGACGTATATAAATCCAAGGAATCCAATGTTTTTTAAACAAATTAACTAAGTCTATCCTTCTTTTAGCTCCGTGTATGATGCCAAACAAAAGAACTAACAGTACACGATTTTTCCATAAAACCCATTTGTTCGAAAATTCACCAGGAGAAAACCAAAGGCTTCTGAGATATACCTTCATTACTTATCAGGCTCCCTTCTGAGGTATCCATCTGGAACTACACTCGTGGATCCATGATTGTTCTCAACCAAATTATTCACTTGTTCCTTCCAAGAAAATAAAAGAAAAAAAAAAAAGATGCATTTTCAAAATCACAATGCACAAAATTCTTAACATGAACAATGATTCTAGTTAATAATAAATATAAAAAATAAAAAATTGAAACCTGGTTAGTTGGAGCTTGTCCGTACATCCTCTGAGGTCTAGCATTGAGGTCAATCAAGTTATTCTCCATTTTCCCATCACCTTCATCATTATTACCCATTATTTGGTCATTCGAAATTATCCGGTGATTTTGCTGATTATTATCTTTCGGTCTAAGACTAGACATTTCTCTTTTCCCTTCACCAATATTAACCTTTTGAGACCCGGTCTCGTCCACCCCGCCAGGT